TGATCGATTTATTTGTCATCGCTATCATTATATATAAATTATTTTTATTTTTAATTTAAAATGGATTAATGTTGGTCTAAAGCTAAAGATTTTTTTTTATGATTCAGCCATCATCATCTTTATTATCATCCAATTCGAAATAATATAAATATTTTATACAAGCACATAATAAAGACGGATACAAATTTTCAATTTCCGTTTTCCGTTTTTTATTTTCAAATCGAATTAAAATTGCACCATTCTCCGCAATCATCATGGGTGAAATTAAATTGATTTGATTTTTTTTTTCGTTGTAGAATTTTTCTCAATTATTCTTTGCTCTGCGTTCATCATTTACAAACACTAGGTGTTGAAAAAAAAATATCCAATTATTTTCAATCATCAATTTTTCACATACACACACACACACACACATTGAACACATGCATGTTTTTTTCGGAGAAAATCAAAATCAATCCAAGAATCTAAAAACCGGAATCATCATCAATGATTATACGACCCATATAGTCACACAATCAAATCATTTTCAATCAAATTTTTTTCCTCTCTATTTTTATTACCATCATCATCATCATCATCATTGTAGAATACTATTGTTGAATCTTTTTTTTCTATTGAAATAAAAATGTTTAAATTTTGCTCCAGAATAAAAGAAAAACCAATACTAATGGTTTCGTGCTTCGATTTCATTTAATTTTGCTTTGATTTTTTTATGGTTTTATGGCTTTGTATCTAATTCTCCGGTTGTGCGTGTGTGTGTGTGTGTGTGTGATTTTCAAACCTTTGAAACTTTTTTTTTCATCTCAATTTAAAAACACCCGTATCCTTTTTTTTCAGTATACCAAAAGCTATAGTGAGTGATGTTCATAATGATAAGATCCATTCAGTGTTTTTTTTTGTTGTTGTTGTTGCAAAAATTTCCATTCACAATGAAAATAATAAGATGAAAAAAATGGCCATGAAACTGGAAAAAAACGATGCATGCAAATAATAATCTATATCGTGGAACAAAAAAGAAAAAATTATCGTGACTTTACAGGCTTCACGTGTTTGAGCACACAACTCAAGTGAATCATTGGACCAAGATTTTTTTTTATCAACCATCCTAAAAAGGCAAATTAAACACGCTTTGTCACCTTTTTTTTTGCATCAACCATTCATTTTTCTGAAGGATTTTTATACTTTTGTTTTTTTTTTGAATGTATGAAATGAGTGCTTGTATGACTCAATGAATTAATGATAAATTAGTATCTATTCATTAATCTTTAACAACAAAAGCAACGAAAAAAAAACTCGTGAAACAAATTTCAAAAACTAAGACCCACCGATATCGAGTTGTTTGTAAGTTTTTTTCTATCAAAAAACTAAATTAGATTTATATCAACAAAATGTGTGATGTGAATTCGGTTGAAATTCACAACCTTTGTCCATAAAAACATACACACACACACACAAAAACGTCAAAATAAAATGAGAAAAAATGATCAAATTTGAAATATTTTTTTTATCTTTGTATTTTCAATCATACAAACATAAAAAAAAACAAAAATCTTTGAAATGGCAACAACTCTTTTTTTTTCTCATTCAATCATGATTTTGTTGTTGATTCGATTCCATTCGAGTGGAAATTTACATGCATCTGGCCTTGTTGCTACCAAACCTAACCAAACTCTGTTTTCCTTTCTAATACAAATGACTCACACTGTCGACTGAGCTCAGTTCGTGCCAATAAGCTAGTCCCCGATGATTAACAATCGCGCAACATATCGGGCCGTTACCGAACCCTGAATAGAAAACTAGTATAGCTTTGACAATCAAACGATGACCGATTGGCACGGAAATTCATTCATTTGATTTGATACGATTCAATGTATGATGTGATGATGGGGACAAACAATCTTTACAGGCAGTGAAAATGCAAATATTTCAATAAACGATTAGGTGATGTGTATGTTTCGTTGTCATCTCCATCATCATCATCATCATTCTTATTTGATGTTCATTTCATTTCACATTATTTCATGAATTTCATCTTCTTTTACCGCGATTTGTACCAATAAAGTTCATTGTTGCTTTATACATTTTTCTTTGCTTTCATATTAAAGTAAACAAAATCAAATATAACCGATTGGAATAGGCTCATTGTTGAACAATGATGAAAGAACATATTTAAATGAATTAGTCAATGTTTTCATTCTTTTTCTTTCCATTGATTTTATAGATTCAATTAAATTTTCATTTTCATCTCATTTTCATTTCATTTTAACATTCAATACATTTCAAACATTGACATTTGGATTGTATAATGAGATTGTAAAACAAGTAAACTGTCAACGAAAAGAAAAAATAACGATGACAAAATGTCCATTGAGATCAATTCAAATAAATGACATGTATATATACGAAAATGTTGATGTACGCAAACGAAACACATCATATGAAGATATTCTTTAGTTCTAGAAAAAAAATTTGACTATCTAACAGAAATGAAAAGCTGAATAAATATTCATCCAGGCCAGACTAGGCCATACTAAAACATCAATTTGAAATGTTCCACGAGTTCTGTCTATTTGTGATGACAACAAAGTCGCGTTTTGTTTTTTTTCAGGCTTTTTCTCTGTTCATACAGATAGAATGCCCTAGAATCTCTCCAGAGAATAATTCGATAACATTTCATTATGGATGTATTTGGCAACCAGTGACTTTGATGATTTTTGTTGCCAATCTCAGAGTTTGAAACTATGTTAGTATCACTATTACTCTATTTAAATGTCAAAATCCAAAAAAAAAGTTATTTTTAGTTCAATCCATTAGAATTGATGCAAAATGATAATTAATCGTCATCATTGTGTCCCTTGTGTCAAACTATCACCTGATCGGGTTGCGAAATTAGCCGGTTTCAAGTTTGACCATATAAAAAAATGATTCGATCAATTCTAATATAAATTCGAATTTTTGAAAAGTATCAAATTGACAATTTTTACTTTTATAATTATCATATATTATCTAAATGAAAACAAAACAGTTGACTTATTTTTCGTCATTTTTTTCGATAAAGTAATTCAATCTTTCAATCCTAAATTGAATACATTGATCATAGTAAAATGAAGAAAAATAAGATATAAAAATAGTACAGAAACAACGAATGAGAGAGAGAGAGAGATGAATGAAAATTAATTTTTTTCTTCTCTCTCTCATTTTACAGTTTGTTCACTTTATTTTCTTCATCACTTTTATTTAATAAGTCAATTGAACGATTCACAAAGTCGAGGATTCAATTCTTATAACTTCGATTGTCATTTTTTTTGCTGTTGTTGTTGTTGTTGTTGTTACTTTCAACAAAAATACAACAGATTCAATGAAAGAAAAGCTCAAAAGTTTAACTAGATGATGTTTTTTTTCTCTCCCGAAATAAAAAACTAAATAAATTTGTAATTCTAAACAAAGAATCGTGCCTTTACTAAATAAAACTTTTTTTTGTATTTTACCATTGTACAAGAATTTACAATTTTTCTTATCATGAATCGAATCCAATCATTTGATGAGAAGAATGGAAAAAAAATTTGTCAACTTTAATCTCTGTATGGAAAGAAAATGAATTCTTTTATCTCTATTCATATATTAGAGAAAAAAAATTCCTGCTTTCATTGTAAATCATATACGGCAGTATTTTGAGACAATGCAAAAGTGTCACGTTTCGAAAACTCCACAAAAAAAATGAATGGGTAAAAAATCCTGAAAGCTTTAAAATTAATTGAATTTAATCACATTTCATTTCTGAGAGTAAGGTTACAAGCAAAAAAAAAAAAAGAAAAATATAAAAGTAAAACAATGAGAAAAACTTTTTCTATTCAACTGATTAGGCAAAAAATTATATTGATATTAATTTGATTTGACAGGATTTTTTTCATTGGAATAAAAATTAAATGAAATGGTCAATAAGATTGTCGATAGACACCCAAAGCCTGAAGAAGGGTTTGTCACGTGAATATTGGAACAGGTGACCACCACCACCACCATTGAAGATTATTAGAATAATAATTTCATTCATATAAATGAATAATGTAAGGCCAAATAATTTTATCCAATGAATTTTTATTTATAATAATTAAAGGAAAAAAAACTTTTCATATAAAAATGGGATGATAATGAAATTGAATAGAAATGACCATTGAAAAAAAAGAAAAAACTGATGTTTATTTCGATATTATTATGACGATAAAAGCCACACATATTGCCATTAATTTATATCTGCCAATGATAAGGATGAAGATAATGGAAAAACATGGACAGCTAGAATTTCATTTTTTTTTATTCACAAATAAGATAAAGTTTTTATAAGAAAAAGTGGTGGTGGTGGTGGTGGTAGTCAACAAGATGTCAAATTATGATATGTTCATCAAACATAAAAGCCATATATATATAGCGACAAAAATGCATCGATATATTCTTTGGATATAGGAAAACATTTTTTAGTGTCATGGGCAATATTTCATTATCATCATTGCCATCAAAAATACAAATACAGGAATATATGTAAGATCTGTTATCTGGAAAAGAGTGAAATTAAAAGCTTTTTTATGAAGCCCGTTTTTTTTCTCTGTTACCACCGATAGAAACAGCAACAACAACGAAAAAATACAAAAGAATGACAAAAACGATGCTAATGCAACGACGATAATGTATCGATCCATTGGACATATTAGCAGAAAGCAAATTTATATGCTAAATATAATAATGTAATATAATAAAATGGACATCTGTGGATCGATCCAAATGTTTAATAGTGTTAATGTGTGTATATTTAAGCGTGCTGTTAATGCCTCAGTACATGGATAGTTGTTTGTTTGTTTTTTTTTTTTTTTTTTTTTTTGATAATTACGATTCGAAGATTTTTCGACAAATCATCATCGGGCTTATATACGGCATCTGTCGGTAATTATGCCGGTTCCAAATTCCAAATACAAAAAAAAATTCCACCGATAGATGGCTGATGAGGATTCATTTAAAAAAAATTTATTTTTTTATAAATTTTTCAATATTCCTAATCATCAAAGTAATTGATAACTTTTTTGTTGCGATTCTCTTCGCTTGCTTTTTTGTACTTGACGATACTTTGTTTCGGTCGTAAGTCTTTAACATCAATATTGACAGCTTCTAATAGTGTGGTTTTCGGTATAGCCGAATTTTTATTTGCCGTTATGATTATACTACGATTTGGTTCCTTATCCACCGATTCAGTTTTCAATCCAAAATGTGCTGCATAATTATGTATGATTTCACGTAAATTTCGATTCATTGGTTGGAAATTGTAGCACATAATTTTCTGGTTAGACTGTTAATTAAGAGAAAAATAAATTTTATGAATTGTAAATTTTCAAAATAAATATTCAGCATACCTGTTTGAAAGCATCTATTAATTGAACAAATTTATCATGAACAGTCATAATGAATTGTGGATTAGAACGGGCTTCATTTTTCAATTGATCTGAATATTTTACAAGATTAGCACCTATCGTTAAGCCTTCTGAATCCACACCAAAAGCATCGGCTAGATTTCGATTACGTTTTTCGCGTGCACAATCTTGGTCACATTCAAGTGAATGTCGTACATTATGGCGTACCATTTCTTTCATTTCATCCAATGTGATTGATGAGTTGAAACTGAATCGTCGTAAAATATCGTCCAAATGTTGTTGGAATCGACGGGAATCCAATACAGTATCACATTCAACTTCTTTGGATTTGAATTCACATTCACAATAGATTCTAATTTTTTCACGACATGGACTTTCAGGACAAGTTACCGATGAGCTTTGATGACAAGGCAAGCCACATTGGTGCGAACAATTTAGACGTATTTTGATGCATTTCTGTGTACAGACAGGACAATCACCGTTATGACAAATTTTTGAACATTTATGTAAACCACATGGTAATGGTTTCTGGCAAAAACGCCCACATGAAACTCCTGTTTCATAACAATGAACTGATTCGCGTACTTCATGCCCTCCATAACAAAGACGGCTAACGAATTCAATACAAGGTGGGCATTCTGGTTCATCATGACAAGGATGTAAAGGTAGATGATCACAACCATGTTTCCTGGAACAAGGTCGTTTGCATGGTGGCTTTAAAGTGCCACATGGAAGAGGAGGAAATAATTTTTCGTGACCACAATTACATGTTATTTCATCCCAAATAACATTTGGACAACTTCGGCAAACTTGGTGACATTGTTCTTCGCATGTATGCTTACCACAAACGAGTTTTCGGCCTTGAATTAGGGAAAAAACTATTGAAATAAAAGGAAAATATTTTGATCAAACATCATACCACAAGTTTGTCTACAGAAATGTTCCTTTTCCGTACAACATTCTTTAAGACATTTGTGACGACCACAACTGAGTTTCTTATTGCATTTTCGTTTACATTTGAATGTTTTTGATTCTAGCTCACTGCAATTCAATTTCTGAGAATTAGCTCCACAATTACATCGAATAATGGTCGTCTGATCGCAAGGAGGACAAGAACCGCTGTGACAAAATGATTTACATTGATGCGGCTTATCAATATTATCACTACCACAAGAAAGAATTTTATCACAAATTTTTCCACAATTTGAAATCGGATCTAAGCATGATTTTCGTGCCTGTTGATTGGCTATACTTGAAAGGATAGTTTTTCCACATGGACATTTAGTGACCAATTCTGGACTTAATGGACAAGAACCACATGAACCGGAATGGCATTGTTTTTCACATTTATGTGACCCACATTCATATGGCTTGGAACATGTTTGTTCGCAACTAAAACCAGATTCAAGATCGATACAACTAACAGCTTCACGAGATTTTTTTCCGCAAAAACATTTCATTTCAAAAATTTTTTCACATGGATTACACTGACCAAAATGACAATTCTTCTGGCAACGATGTTTACCACAATCAAGTAACTTATTACAAAGTTCTAAACATTTTATATCAGACAATTTTGCCGCACAATTCAATGACATCTGAAAAATGTAAGAGAAGATAAAAATTAACTATGAATTGAATTCATACAACAAACGTAATCTCACCTTGGTTTTTCTACATGCACAAATTCGTTCAACTTTTAACGTACATGGTGGACATTTTCCAGGATGACACATGAGAGTACATCGATGTTTGCATTCAAAATATTCTTCGTTTTCAATTTTGATATTGAATAATTCGAGATTTTTTGAACAAGTTTCACCACATGAATGTGGTACACGATAATTACTTGTTTCTGGATCTTTCATTTCACCACAGAAACAATAATAGTGGTGAGGAAAATTTCGATGCACTGTTTGACATGTGGGGCATCGCCATTCTTGAATCTGTTGATTCTTTTTCTTATTATCTTGAGATGTGGATGCTTCATTCGGATCTACTGAAGATTTACGTGCCCATTGTTGTGTACACTTCAAGTGGAAGACATTGAAACAATTATTACAATTCCAAGTTCGATCATGAACACGAATCATTTCACAACATATGATACATTCATATTGTGCTTTACGCAAAAGTTCATCCATAATTTCACGTTGACTTTCCAGATCTGATTTCACCGGACTTTTGTCCGTTTTGTTATTATCCATAGAACGAGTAGAATGTTTGCCATTGTGATTATCAATTAACATTCGATTTCTAGGAGCTTGATAATGATGACGTTGATGGAAATCTTGTGATCGATGATGACTTGTACTTGGTACATTTCTTAAGCCATCATCATCACGAAATGTTTTATAGCGATCATCACGATTGATTTCATTTGAACCATAGTTCATATCCATTCGGCTAAAACGATTGTACATATCAGATTCATCATAAGGGATTCGCTGTTGGGGATCGTTATTACGATAACGAGTTTGATAGTTATTTCTAGAATGATTTTCATTAGAATTCATTTGACGATTACGTGCAAATCTCGGTGGCAATTCATTTGACTGATGATTAGATTGTTTTCCAGATCTATAACTATAATTACCGGATCTTCTTGAATCATAATTATCTTGATCTCTAAAATGATTAAAATTATTGTTAAAACGAGAATTTTGCGGTCCTCGATGATAATTATAACGATCTGTATTATTGTTTTGATTATACTGTTGACGATGAAAAGGATTCATATTTCGAGAATTCTGGGACTGATCAATACCATTATTATTATTATAACGATAATTATCAGATGTTTTTTCAGGATGAGCCATGTTGATTGTGGAGACTTTAATTGAATGATATACTAAGAAATAAATCAATTACAAAAAAAAATCTTTAACTGTAAACAATATACTTTTGCGGTTTCTGTTGTCCAAAAATATTTTACGTTTTCAACACGTTGATGAAAAACGTTGCTTGAATGAATGGATTCAATATCTCAACAACAACAACAACAACAAAATACAGACTCCAACACGGCTTTATACGAGAAAGTTTCCAGTATTAATAATGATCATTTTTTTCGATTCGAAAATATTCCCGGAAATCCTAATTATTTTGTTATCAAAATCTCAATCCTTTGTTAGCAAAATGTTTTGCTGCGTATTATTTTCATTCGAAATTTTTTTTGTTTATTTTTGAAAAAATGGGTGAAATCAAAGAAGAGATTGACGATGAAAAACCACATCTTTATAATCTTCAACAAATGGAATTTCCAAATGATGGTTTCAATATGCAAACACCACCAGTAGTAGCATCGACATCTACAACAATTGAAAATGAAACAAAAATTATCAACGATAAAAATAAAGTTGTAAAAACGAAAATTCGTAAATCGAAAAATAAATTACCAAACATGCAAAAAGTGGATACAAATGCTAAATTGGAACGTAGTAGACAAAGTGCACGTGAATGTCGTGCAAGAAAAAAACTTCGTTATCAATATTTGGAAGATTTGGTCACCAAACATGAACATGCTAATATTCGTTTGAAAAAGGAATTTGAACAGGTATGTAGCAACAATTGGATTGGATTTATTTGTTATCTTAAATATGGTTTTATTTTTTTCAACAGTTAAAAGAGATTGTTTCAATGTTATCATCTGATCAATATAATGTGGAAGATGTGCGAAAACATTATGAATCGATTCAAGCGCCAAAACAATAAAATCATGACATAATTTAATAATCTCATCATTTTTTGCAATAACCTGTATATTATTTATCTATTATTTTATTTAAAATTTTATTTTGTTTTGAAAATCATCTAACTTTTATTATTATTTCATGATTTTTTTTTGTGTAATAGTCATATGTAAAAAATAAAGATTTGAAAAAAAAGAAAACATTGTGAACATGATAATATCAAATATCTGTTAATCTTTTTTATTTTTCGAATCTTCTTCCATTTGGACAAGAATATGAGATTTGATACCGATTTTTTTCAGATCTTCAATAAATTCACCATTTTGATGTTTTTCCAATAATATATCACAACCACCAATGAATTCACCGTTTAAAAAAATTTGTGGTATTGTTGGCCAACTAGTAAAATCTTTTATCGCTTTACGTAATTCATCTGATTCGAGTACATTGTGCGCTTCAAATGGTACACCATGCATACGTAAAACCTTTTAGAAAACAGATTATGAATGATTTAATTGTATAAAAAAAATGAATGAACGAATGTAACCAACCTGTACGACAGCATTGGAAAAACCACATCGTGGTGATTCAGGTACACCTTTCATAAATATGACTACTTTATCATTTTTAATCATTTGTTTTAATGTTTCATCATCATATTTGACAGGATTTGTTGATTGATAACGATAATGTTGTAATTCCAATAAAAATGGATTAATAGTTTGTCGACAAATTCGAATAGTCTCTCGCTGAAGCCAATTTGATCGAATAACTTGTTGTACGATAGACATTTTGATAGATTATATATATATTGTATCAATACAAATAAACAAACAAAAAACAATTGAATAATAAATTGATTTGATTACCAAATGATCACATGTATCCAATTTTTTGATATATAAATCCAAAAAAAAAACATATGACATTGAATTATTTTCGTTACGTACTTTATGATGGCAACAAAAACATTCGCGCAATATTTGATTTGATTTATTTGAATAGATAGAATATATTCCGAAACAAAAAATACACACACTGTTATATATACAAATTCTAATTTTTAAAATTGAGTCGAAAACATCCGGGAAAAATTATTATTCCGATTTTTCAGGTTAACACACACACACACATAGACATTGATTATGTGGTTCAGCATCAAATTTATCATCATAATCATAAATTGACCTTCAATATGAATTGATTTTGTACATTTATTAGATTCAACACATTGATTGAAGAAAATTTTTGTTGTTTTTAATTCAATCAATAGTAAAAAAAAAAAAAATTCCATTCATTCTGCCATTAATGGTATGGCTATCATCATTATCATCAAAATCATAACATAATTTACTTTTATTATTTGCAATATTGATATTTTTTTCCATGTATCATCATCAAACACACACACACACACACACACACAGATATCCAATATTCCAATATTCTCAATGGAATGAATCAAATTGTTAATTTCATCTAAAGATCAACAACTAGTATTTATTTCCAGGAAATGACATAATCATTAATAGAGAGAGAGAAAAAATCATCAACCAAATAATGATATTATAATCTAGTTAATTTATGGGAATGAAAAAAAAAAATGAATTGAATATAGATTACCAAATATATAGAATTTGTAACTAAAATATGTGTAGCATACACATTCAATTTAATCTTGACTAATGAAAAACAAAATGAGCCTTTGAAAAGAATTATGTTCCAACATATATGATGTTGATGTATCAAAATTGGCTGGCGAGAGAAAAAAAAACAAAATTAAATGTTGGATAAAACTAATAATCGACAAAATGTAAAGAAATCAAATATCGAACCACATTATAAGTGATGGGATGGGATTTTTCTAACACTGTTTGGAACATGACCAAAAAAAAAAAAAAAATGTCCGAAAATTTATGTTTTTCATCATTTGATTTTTTTTTTTTGCTTGCTTATCCATATACAAAATAAAAGCCTACGTTGACATTTTGACTTTGAATAAAATTACGATTTGATCAGTTTCTATCAATGATGATTACAAAGATTTTGGATAGAAAAATAACAGTAATAGTAATATATATTTGAATGTGTCCCAGTCACATGTCAATCATTGTATTTATATACTGAAAATAATAAAACACGAAGAATGAATTTTCGTTTCTGTCTATTTATTTTCTTGTTAAACCAAAAAAAAAAAAAAAATTCTGGCGGCTATTTGTTCATCTTTTTTTTCATGCCAGTAAAACAAGAATTAAACATTGGCTACATTGTTTATGATGTTATACTATATCATGTCTTTATCGAATCAATTCAATGTTTTTTTCATTCTTATTTCAAGATTTCAGATGACCAAAAGGACAAAAACATTAATATTGTTATAAAATAGATTCTGATCAGAAACGAAGAAACAAAACAGAAAATTTTCACTATTGTCAGCAAATCAGAAAAAAAACAAAAAAAAAAAATTCACCAAAATTTTATATTTATATAAAATGATTTCGTTGTCGGATATATAAGATGGAAAAGATTTTCAAATTTTAAAGATTTCTTTTCATTTTTTTTTATTATTGTTTTTGTTGGATACAACTTTCTTTTCTGTTTGGTTTGTTTCGTTCTACATTTGCAATATAACACACACACACACACCGGAAGATATAACACATCAGTAGTTGCTAAACTATAGAATAAATGATCAATGATCATCATCAAATAGATAAATTAATTAAATTTGTGTAAAAAAAAATGTCAAACAAAATTATCAATTTATTTGTCTCCAATAATATTATGAGTGGATCATGTTGTTGTTGTTGCTGTTGTCGTTTTTCTTTATCTAGTCTTGGATTCTTTATTGTCGGATACAATCTCTTCATCATCATCATCATCATCATCATCATTCTGGTCATTCATTCATAGCTACAATAACAACAGCAACGATTTAATCAACAAAAACAAAAATTGAAAGAATTTAAAATATAAAAAAAAATTCTATCTAGATAATTCTGCAGCCATCTCAACCAATCATCATGATCAATGATGATGATGATGATGATGATGATGATGGTCATTCGTTTTGATTCGGACATTGTATTGTTTTTTTTCTTGTTTTCAGGCCATATATTAATAGTAAATAGTGTTCTAGTATGAAACTATAGTAAAGAGAAAATTTTTTGCTATCGTCAGTAGAAATTTTTTTTATCTGATGAGAAAAAAAAAGTATTGGGAACGAAAAAAAAATACGGAAATGAATCTCATGGTTTGTTTGACCTGCAACAAGCAAATGAAAACAAAAACTAATGAACTTTATTCTCAATGTAATCTACGTAAATGTGAATGGTATAACAAAAAAAAAAAAAAGGAAACTTTACCGAATTTATTATGAATTTAAGTCTGTTTTTCATTTCAATTTTTCCAATCTATCGGTGTGATCGATACCAATCAACAAATTAAGTTGACTAGAAAGTAAAACAAATTTTTTTTGCAAAACAAAAACAAAATATCCAATCATCTGTATCATCTCTCATTGATTATTATTATTATTGATGTTTGTGGCTTGTTTCATCATGTTGGTGTTAATTTTTTTTCCTCCTTCTTATATATGTCATCAATTGGTAAACAAGCAAGCAATTTTTCACTGTGTTTCGGGGTTTCACACATATTTCCATTCAGAATATAATCGATTCTTATTCTATTTCTATTTTTGTCACATGGATGATGGAAAATAACATTCATTTTTATATACATTCAATAATGTGTGGAAAAAAAAGAAATAACATATCGTAGAACTTCTATGGAAAATCGATACAAAACAATTATTGATTTGATGATGATCATTCTTTGTCATTTTTTTTTCGTCTTTATCAATAAAATTGATGATTCGTTTGTTTTTTTTATAATTCTCACCATGCTTGTTATTATTATTAAATGGATGATTAGATCCACAATTCAGATGAGAGAAAAAAAAAGAATTTTTATGGTGCCAAAACAGAAAAAAAACATCATTCTATAAAATCATAATTAAAAATCGATTTATTATTTGTTTTGATGATTGTGTTTGTTATTCGCTTGGTAAATGATAAAAGATGAGCATCATCAACATGATGATCAGAAATTTTTGTCAAAGTCAAATTTAAAAAAAATGAAAATAATTTTCTCATTTCAATTTAACATTTCAATCAATTAACAATGTTTGTCGGTTTGCATTTTTGCTGAAATCTTCATCATTATAATGGTCACAGTTGATAAATAAGAAAAAATACCGACCATAACTGTTGCAGCACGACATCTGTGAATATGCTGTAAAATAATGAGTCAGAATTGCTCGAATGTGTACAAGAGCACGTGGATTGATTTTTTGTGAAATTTGTAAAATTTCTGAAAATTGTTTGATTTTTTGCGCTAATTGTAAATCAACAGTTGGTATGTAATTAATTTAATTGTTATAATTTATAATTCAGTTTGTATAATTTATAGTAATAAAAATCATAAATTATTGATGAACAATTCTTTTATTACAACTGATTTGGTTTTGATTTGTCTGAATTGAATTGAAACGAATTATTGGATTTCGTATTGAATCGAATTGAATTATTGGATTGAATTTGAATTTATCAATTTGAATTTGGATTTGGATTTGGATTTATTGAACTGAATTGCCCATCATGGATAAACTGTCGGATCGAGCTTTTAAAACAAAGATCGCGAAAACATTCAAATCAAAAAAGTTTGATCGAAAACTGGTGTCCGAGCTGAATGAGGAATTCGAAAATCGTACGGCTGGACTTGATGAAAATGAATATGAATTATGGATAAAGTATGACGACATATTGAAGGCCATGATTAATAATATTAATCTTAATGAACAATTGGATAATGATGGTGATGACGACGTGGATCGAAATGATTCTGATGCTGATGACGATGATGGAAGTGATCGTAGTAGCCAACTCGATGATGATGATCGCGGTTTGTCTAGTGAATCCGATGCTGACACTGAACCTGAAATCGAAACCGAATTGAAAAGGATACGTCGAAAACTGAAAAAATTTTCTATGAAAAAGAAAACGAAGCGTGAAAGTCGCTCGAAATCCGATATGGATAATGATGTACCGATATATAAAATTGTCAATTTGATCAAGCCATTCAAAGACAATGTAGCTGAATGGCCAGCATTCAAACGTCGTGTTGAAACGCTGATTATTGGACGAAAAGATGCCTCTGAAGATTTGAAAAGAGTCCTCATATCTGGTATTTTGAAAGGTAGAGCATCTTCGATTTGGGACCGATGCGAGGCAAAGCAAATGAATCTAAAAAAGAGCTGGAAAATCCTGTCGAAGGAAATCGAAGACCCTGATCTCATCAATCTGTACATACAGTCAATGATACTGAAAATGACAAATGTGAAAGACAAATATGATACCGATGGTCTCGAAAAGATTGAATCGCAAATTGAAGAATGTGCAAATGCCGTGGCTAGCTTGGGTCCTCGCTATATCGATAACACGTCCGAAATAGTTTGGAAGATTGCCAATAAGTTTTGGAGAGAAGAATCGGAGAAAATCATTACTGAATGTCGATCGTTGGACAGTCTTTTGAAACGAGCTCGAAAGGCGTATCGTAACGCCGTAGAGTTGGCTCAACATAATGCTGAGCATAAATTGCCGGCTAAATCTGTGAAAAATGTTGATCCAAAGCCCAGAGTATCGTCGATTCGAACTGTGGTGGCAAATCCAGTGAAAAAATGTTTCTTGTGTGATAAGCCTGGGCATGTGGCAACTGCTTGTAATAGTGAATTGTCCAGTTTGGACAAAAAGAAAATCGTTCATGACAAGAATTTGTGTCGTATTTGTCTATGGCCTGGACACAAATCAACGGATTGCCGTCGAAAAGATGTAATCAAATGTGCAACATGTAAAGGCAACCACCCGTTGTCATTGCATGGTATAAATTCGAATTGAATCGCAAATTGAAGAATTTGCAAATGCCGTGGCTAGCTTGGGTCCTCGCTATATCGATAACACGTCCGAAATAGTTTGGAAGATTGCCAATAAGTTTTGGAAAAAGGAATCGGAGAAAATCATTGCTGAATGTCGATCATTGGATGATCTTGTGGAACGGGTTCAAAAGGCCCATCGTCATAGAATTTTAAATTGTAAATCACTAGCACACAATGTTTAATTTGTATCACCACATATTTGTTAATATCATATTCAATATTTGAATGAAATATATGGATCATCATGTAATAAAAAAAAAAATAACACAACATAGGAAAATAAATTTCCCGTCACTGAAAACCGTAGTGTGGCCTTTTTTCATTTTTTTTTACATTCATTTGTCATTGTTCAAATATGTAACGGGAGCAATAACAAAAAAAAAGTTTGTTTTTCTTTTCTTTTTTTTTTTATTCGGGCCAGTCATTTTTCATGTTTTTTGTGTTGAACTTGTCGTCTCCAGTATTTTTTTTTTTCACAGCATGATGAATAGGCAAATTTTTTTTCCGTTGGATTAATATCTCATCACACAATCACACAGAAACAAACCTCAAAAACAAATATTTCACAAATATTTTTTGTGTGTGTATATATTAACCGAGCAAAAGAAAAATGAGCTACGTATCTTCCTATTCATTCACAGTATTTTTATAGCTCATTTAGTCATATATAATAATAAAATGATTTATAGTGGATATATAGATGAAAATTTTACCACATACACTTTGATGAAAATCACCATAATAAACGATACGAAGAAATCTTGTATTCTAGACAAAAAAAAAATTTTTCTTTCTGATTTTCATTTCTCAATAATTTTGTCCACTACTGTTGTCATAATTGTTTTTTTTATTGGTTTTTATTTTATTTTTTTTTTCTTCGATAAAACTAACTGTTTAGGGTGGAAAACAATGTTTTTGTTTTTGAAATGAATGAATTCCAGTGGAGAGAAAAATTTGACCAGAATTATGAAATAATAATGCAAAAAATATTCTCATTGTTAGCATGTACTGTGAGCCAAAATTGTTTTATATTGTTTTTTTATGTTGAATTTTGTGATAAACATTTCAATTTGATTCAAAATTTTACGGGAAAAAAATGAAAATAAAAACTGATGATAAAAACATGATGAATCGATTTTTATTATTTATTTATTTTTTTTTAAGTTATTGCATTTTTCTTCCCCGAATAACTTTCTTTGTCATCTCTGATCATAGATTAAATTTTCATTTTCATCATCATCATACAAAATAATGATGGAAAAATATGAATTCATCATTGATAACCAATATAATAATAAAAAAAATAGCTGAAAAAATGAAAAAATATCGATTATATCGATATATTCGAGTGAAAAAAAAATTGAAATTTAAATCTTTTTTTTTGAATCTAAATATATTCAATCAGCCATAAACTATTGTGAATAGTAAATAGAACTTTGAAGAAAATTGAAAAGTTGACACACACACACACACACCCATCATACACCCACATACGCAGACTGATCATCGATACAACGATAAATATATCCCATTGGACAGCTGAAAAATCTATTTCATATTTATTTTTTTTTTAGCTTCGCCCAAAATTTTCGTCTGTACGGGAAAATAATTTTCAAATCAAAAAAAAATTGTATGGAAAAAGTATTTTCTCAAGAGATTCCTTTCTCCCTCTCTCTCTTTTATTCTTCTCAACTTGTGATATTGTTCTTTAAAATGAATTTTGAATGATGAATCTCAAGTTGAGATCTATTTTTTTTCCTGAAACAAACTGAAAGAAAAGAATGGAATTTTTCTTCTTTTGATTGAGAAGAAAAAAAACACTTATGGAGAAAAAAGACAATTATTTGACATTTTTCTGTTATTTTTTTTTTTTCATGGTCGGCGGATATTTGATTGAAAATTAGCTGATTAGATATTCAAAGTTCATCTCAACCATCAGCCAATTTTTTTTTAACTATCACTTTCACAAAATTCTTTCGTATCAAATCTTTTGTACTCGTTGAATTCTTTTCAACCACCACCACCATCACCATCATCATCATCATCATCATCATCATCATCATTTTTTTGCTCCAAGTCTTTCTTTCCCTTCGGATATATTATCTATTGTAATAAATAATAATCCAAGATTTTTTGACAGTATTCTTAATGTAGTATGTCGACTACACAAGAGAATAGGATAATCGAAGAAGAAGAAGAAGAAGAATGAAAAAACGATATGGAAACAAAACAAGAGAATTTCGTTTTCTTCTTGGATCAAAATGGCAAGATGTGTTTTTTTTTTGTTTTGTTTTCGAATATATATATTTTTCACGCAAAAAAAAATTTCTTTCCATATTTTTTCTTACATTTGTTTTTTTTATATATATATATTGTAAACCATATTGTCTTGTGTTTATGAAGATTATATATTAAGTCTGAAAACGATATGATAATAACAAAGATCAAGATGATATATAAGAACAATGTGAAAATGATGAAAAAAAAAAAAAAAACAGAAATAAATGTCTGTTTGAATGAATGAACGAAATAAAATAAGCTTTAGGCAATATTTTATAGAAATCGAAATGGGCCAGATATCGGCCTTCGTCAGACCAATATTTTATTCTCATCATCTTCATCATCAGAAAAAAATTATTGAAAAACAAGATCAATGAGAATAATGTTGAGATAGAAATAGAATTCACAGAGAAAGAATATTCTTATTTTCTATGATAATAAGAAATTTTTTTATTTATAAAAAAAGAAATATGTCTGCATGCCAACGACAGCAAAAGTCAAATGAAAAGAAAGCAACAAAAAAAAATAGAATTATCATAAACCAACAACTTCGAATAACACACACAACCCAGAAAAAAACGAAAATAGTGCGCCAAATACAACAGAATTTCAAGTAAATAATAATGTGCGAATAATAATGTTTGTTTGTGAATCTTTCAGTTTTTTTTCACTTTGAATTTGCTTATTTTTGTTTTCAAGAAAAAAATCTTTGCACAAATAATTATCAAGTCCATTTAAAAATCCGAATACATTGAAGAATTTTTTGTTTGTTTGATCAAACAACAACAACAACAGCAGCAGCAGAAAAATTGACAAAAACGGACTTTTTTTATTTCATTTTATATATTTATTATTAATAAGATTATGATCGTCGTAAAAATTCTTTGAATCAAATCATCATTGTCATCATAATCATTTGTCGTCGTTGTCTATTCCAAGAAATATTGGAAATTGGAAAATGAGAAAAAGAAAGGTTTTTTCCATCCATTTATGATGGATTTTTCACAGTTTATAATAGTATCAGCAGTGTTGACGGATTCGTCAGTTTTTTCCTTTCATCTTTTGTTTCAATCATAATTCTATTTTTTTTTCATGATTCATTATCACCATATATATGATTTGGGTAATATTGGCAAATGTTTCTTCGTATTTCGTATTACATTTACATCGACCATTTACGAAGCAAATAATGTAATATTTTTATTTTATCATCATCATCATCATCATCATCATCATCATCGATTCGTTGGAAACATGTAATATCTTTGGACCATTACATATATATGAATGAATCAATTTTTATATGCCTGTCATCTGTATCTGCATATTGGCTAATACAATCACATATGATGATGAATATTATATTAACTGTTTGATTTTATTAGATTCCGATGAATAAGTTTTCTGCTGTTATGAAATTCTTTCAAGCAAAAATGTTAGTATATTTTATATGACATATGTGTGTGTGTGTGTGTATTTGTTTACTGTTTGATTCATTTTTCTCCATTAAAATCATCATTATAATGATGTTGATTGTATCGTATCATATAAAACTTATTGATAGATATAGATGTATGGATCATCATCATCATCATCATCATTCATATCACATTCTTTGATGATTTGATAAACTTTTTTTCCACACATTATTTCATTGTATCTATTTTCTATTGATAAAAAAAGTTGCAAATAATCTGTAAGTTTTCTTTGTTTTTTTTCCAGCATTTTTTTAATGAATTAAGAAATGAACAAACAGAACAAACGATATACACTCAAGTGAGCCATTTATTGTATAGAATCATTGTTTCTATTTTCATCATTTTTCATAGAATTTTCTCGCATTTTTGTATAGAATTTATTTATATTCGTTTGTGTACAACAATGATCATAAAAACTATAGTATATTAAAACATTTTTTTTTGCTTTATCTTTACAATGAAACAAAAGAATAATTCTCATTTTCAAATCGACAATAGAGAAACAACCATGGATGAATGCAAGAATCATAAACATAGAAGAAAAAAAAGACAGTAAATCTTGTTTTTTATCCGTGATTTCACTGTGAAAACATGAACGTTTTACAAACATAAATCGGATGATGATGAAATGTGAATTCATCCGATTTATTCATCCATTCATAATTCTATTTCGTTTTTTTTTGTTTTATGATTTTGAACAATAAAAATGAAAGACAGAAAGAAATTTTCAGACATTTTTTTCCGTCTATTGTTCAATTCAAATTGAATATGAAACATATTACATGTGTATATTTTTCAAGTAACAAAAATATGTTCATATATCAAAAATATACTCACAGTTTGTATCATTTATTCATTTGATGATAACATAGCGATAGCAGTGGATAGAATGATTATTCACAAAAAAAAAATTATGGTCATCTCATAACTGATCAATTTGATCAATCAGAAACTTAATGCATTTCTTTCCCATAGCTATGTATTCACATTTATAATACATATTTTGTCAAACATGCTTTTTCACCTCACATCATCATCATCATCATCATCTTTATTATTACTACTATAATCTTGCTTTTTTTTCTTTTTTTTTCTCCTAGTTCTTGTTTCATGATTATGGATCATCATCAATGAAAAAAAAATTTTTTTTTTTCAAATAGTAATTTTCTATTCAATTACAATCAATTGTTCAATCAAGCATTAATCGAATGATTGGTTGTTTGTCATGTGAACATGATCATATTTTTCATTTTTCATGATATTTGTATTAGAATATTGTAAAGAATTATTGCTATTAAAATAATCTTTTTCAATAAATTCAATAATAAAAATCATCATCATCATCATCATCATCATTGACTGTAAAATGCATTATCATGGGACATTATTATAACAAATAACAAAAAAAAAACTCATCATTATAAATGAAGCTTATCATTATCATTGTCATATATGAATTGTAATATATGTTGTTTTTTTTTGTTTAATATAATACAATCCAATGGATTTGAAATCGATTTCATTTTGAACAGAAATCTTCAATTTTAATACATCTATATTCATCTATCTTTATATTTTTTTTTTAAATTTTTTTCAATAATGGAAATTCAACATGGAATTCAAATAAATGATTTTGTTCGTTTCCATATCATTATTGATCAAATCAAATTGTATATGTAATGTTACGTTTGAAAATAAGCAAAGAAAAAAAATTTGAGATAAAAGTTTTAAATCCAGTTTTCTGATGATTTTTTTTTCTCATTTTTGAAAACATTCTGGAATTTCAACTTACTTTATTTTTTTTTTACAGTGAAAACTGATTTTTTCCGTTTTGTTTCTTAGCGTTTTTTTTTTTGAACAAGAAACCGCACAAAATGTTAATTAAAAAGTTTTTCGCTGCCAACTACATGGATGTTTCATTTTTTTTACAAAAAA